TGGTTCTTCCTATCAATATTTCAGAATAAGATAGACATTTATCAAAGAATGACATAGATATAAGTTGTGATACATACCATGAAAATATAGACTGCTGTATGAGAAAAAAAGTGAGGGGCCTTTCACCTGTTATCTCTTTTAATCTTAACAATACTTTTCTCAGATTATCCTTTTACGTGAAGACTTGTCCAAGTTCACACAATTTATAAGTGGGAGAGCTAGGAACACATGTCTAAAATAAACATGATGTTCTGTCCACTCTTCTGGATTTTGCTAGCATCTGCATAGCTAATGATCTCACTGATTACACATCTTTGCTCATTCAATGAGGCCTAACATGACCACCCCTCCCCCCGTACCTCCTTGTACTTATTCCAAATTATCACTTTCTAACCTATTAGAGATTTCATTTGCTGCATATATTACCTATGGTTCTCTACGAGACAGTAATTTCCAGGAGGTTGGAGACTTTTGCTCATTTTGCTTATAGATATATTGCTCCCTGCTCCCTAACAAAACAAAACAAACCAACCCTAGAATACCAATTAATACATACACATGACACTGGCCCATTCTTCCTTTTCATCTTTAGCTGTAACAACTTGTTTAATAATTTTCACTTTTAATTCTTGAGGAAACAAAATAGGCCCTATATCTGAGCCAAATTTACATTTTTTTATCCTGAAATCCTATTGTTAAAAATTAGAACCTGAAATTATGAATATCATTTTAAAAATTTTAGCCAGAATGAAGTGATGAAAAGACATGTAAAACAAACTGAGATGTGAAGGATGTGGTATTTAAGAGTGCCTACATGTTCTATGATTCTTTAGAAGCTGAAGGCAAGCCACAGGTGAAACACAAGAATCAGAGTGCAGGTTGAGTATCCCTTATCTGAAATGAGTGGTACCACAAGTCTTTCAGATTTGAGAATAATTACATGGGCTTTACCAGCTGAGCTTTCCTAACTAATCTGAAAAATCACAAATCCTGAAATTGCTCTAAAATCTAAAATATTTTGAGCATCATTCTGGTACTCAAAGAATTTCAGGACTGGGCCTAGTGGCTCATGCCTATGGTCACAGCTCCCAGGGAAGTAGAGATCTGGAGGACAGAGGTTCAAGGCCAGTCCATGAAAGTTAGGGAGACTCCATCTCAACCAGGAAGTCAGGCATGGTAGTATAGGGTTAGATGGGAGGATTGCAGTCTGATGTTAGCCCCCTCAAAAGCTCGAGGCTTTACCTGAAAAATAACTAATGCAAAAAAAGAGCTGGGGGCATGGTTCAATTGGTAGTGCACCTGCCTAGCAACAGTGAGGCCCTGAAGTCACACCCTAGAGTACCAACACCAAGGGGGAAAAAACCCTTTTAATTTGAAAAGAAAAGGCATAAATCATAAAAGTATAATTAAAAATAAAAGTAAAATTAAAAATTCTTTGTCACTGAAAGATTTATTTAAAGAGGAAAGACTTGCTAAAGACTGGAAGAAGAAATCTTTAAAGTCTACTGAATAATCACTAAGCCAAAAAAGAGGTGAAACCAAAAAAGGAGGCAAAACTGAGCAGGTAATTCATAGAAAGAGAATACGAATGGTCATAAACAAGTGAAAGTATTACCAACCACGTAAGTAATTGGGAGATACAAGTGAAAACTACAGTGAAGTACTATTTCATATTCCTCAGAATGGTAAAAATTAAGACATCTAAGTTATCTGTAAAGTGGAAAAACAGATCCTCTCATCTGTTACCAGCAAAACCATCGTGGAGAGAAAATTGGCAGTTATTTAGTAAAGTAAAAGCTCATACCCTATCTAGCAGTCTACTAGTAGATTTGTATTCAAGGGTGATCTTTCTCAATGACAGCTTCTTGGTTGTTAGAATGAATAGGGCACTACTAAATCGGAAGCCAGGAAGGAACATCAGGCACTCTTTCTGCATAAAAATAATGGAGCTCCAGGACACAAGATTTGTAACTATTCTGCTGGACATCCACATTCACAGAGGGGAACAGGGAAGGAAAGAAAAAAAACAACAAAAAAAAGCAAAAACCACCCTAAGGTCAGAAACTTCTAAACTGGACTCAATCTGATGCCTATTTGTATTGTTTTAACACATGATGATTTTAAAGAGCTCATCTAGTGTAAAAAGGGGCTTTGTTGGGAGGATAAGACAGGAGGATCTTGAGGTTCAGGCCAGCCTGAGCTGGCCTGCACAGTCAAGACCCTGCCTCCTCCCACCCCACCCCCAAAAAAAGAAAGAAGAAAAGGTGGGTGGGGGGGATTGTTTCAACTTTACTTAGAGTAAGTTTGTTTTTTAAAAAAAATCATTTTCTACCAACACTGCAGCTTTTGGTATCTGAATGGCCAGTTCAATGTAAAACAACTATTACAACAGGCAGTAGTAGTTATAGTAGTTAAGAGAATACTACCCATAGGTGCAAAATGTCTGACTACTACTACCACTACTTCTTAGACTTTAATTCTACATACCTAACAAACTCCCAGGTGATTCTGATATTGCTGGTCTAACACACTTGATTGATAGCAAAACTTGACCACACTTGATATACAACATTCACACAGCGAAATACATTATTATAAAGTCTCATAATTCTGTAAGGGCACTGCTTTTTTTTTTAAATGTGAACATTTATTATTACAGTTGTCATATTAAGACAGTATTAAGAGAAATAGCAGATATTTTCTATAAAAATGGGATGTGGAATCAAGACCCACTGGCCTGGAGAAGTCTTGCACATGTACACAAATAAACATATAGTCACGCACTGCTTAAAGAAAAAGATGACAGAAAGGTTGGATATAGACATAGGTTTGGAAGACAGTCCCCAAAATAATGACTTCAGGACTATAAATCAGAAGACTTGGGTTCTAGACACACTTTTTGCTTTTTAATTGTTTAGTTTTAGGTAATTCAAGCAATTAATTTCTCCTGGCTTTACTTGTTTCACCTGTAAAAGTGACAGAATCATTTTTCCTCTCCAGCTCATAAGGCTGGGTTTGAGAGGCAAATACAGCAATGTAACACGATAGGAAAATTAGAAGCCACTGAGAATTAAGAGGAAAAACCTCTGTTACATTAGAAAAAGTATTTATTGGTAAATAAACCAAAAAGTTTCTTGTCACTGATTCTAAAGACACTGACACCAATACTAACATGGAAGAAATTTTGAATTTATCAATTAATACTCTTTAATTAATGTCACATAACCCAAGTAACTGTTGCTGATGTGATTCTTACTGTCTTTTCTATACAGTGAGCAGGTGGCACATTTCATTAGCCCTGCATTACAGATGGAGAACCTGATTCAAATGTCTGGAGTTGTAGACAGAATTTGAAACAGATACCACTTGCCTATTCCACTACCTTCATTAAATTACTAAAAACACTGTTACTATGATGCCTTATGGCGCTTGTATTTATCCCAGGGAATAACATTCTTTGTCAGTTGTCCTTTCATAGATATAAAATGGGCGAAGATGCTCATGGAAACAAGCCCCACATCAACTAGAGTACTGCACACCAAGGGACAAAATTAAAACTGCCTAGCCTGCTGAAAATCTAATCCTATCCTTGCCAATTAACCTTATTAATACTAGAGTAGGAGAAAATAGAGGTCAAAAATATGGGTGAGGGTGTTATTCATTTACTCCTGGGCTTGAAATAATATAGTTTACACCTTTTATAAGTTGTAACACAATCACCTTCACTGTTCTCCTTTAAGTAATGCCGTTACACTTTTCCCAAAATCAAATTTACCAACAACTATGGGAGCTGGGATGCCCCAATTAAAACACTGGCAATCAAGGTAATTATCAAAATACTGTATTGGATAAGATTGAATGCTACCCAACTGAGTTCATGTGATAGACACATAGACACAAATTCATTTATTTTAAATCTCCCTGCTAATGTAAACAAAAACGTTATTACAACCTGTAATAACTTGACTTTCTATTCTGATTCCATTAGAGTTTTAAATGCTGATCCAGATGTCTAAAATCCTTTTTATTTATTGGAGATTTTTTTAAGGTCAGCGAATTATTTTATGAATCAAGTAATAAATATTACGAAAAGTATTAAACAGGGAACACCTTTCATAAAAACGCACAGCCAAAATTTAAAGGTCACCCTCTCTACATCCCGTTATTCATCCTTTGCTTACCAAATTTACCCCACACTAACTTAAATCAATGCAACGTTAAAAAAAAAATTCTGTTCTGCCCTGGCAGACATCGCAACATGGATCATAGCTCTCAACATACGAGTTCTGTAGAACAAGCTGCCCAGGTTAAACGCCTCTATTTCACGGACATCCCCCCGCCACAATACCGTATAATTTGTCCCAACTTTCTTGGTTCGGGGTTAAATAAAATTTCAAACCTAGCCTCTGCAAATTGCTGATCGGAAATCCTAAGGGGTTGACCCCAGAGTTCTTGCACATTGAATGATTACAGCTGAAGCATCTGGAGAAGAACCCTGCCCGGCCCCAGCAGAGGACAGGGCTCCCCAAGCTCGGTGCAGATGCAATCTACACCAAGGCAGGGGTGAAGACGTTCAGCAGACAGCCCGGGAGGGGAACGGGAACGGGAACCTGACCCCATCTTTCGGCCCGGGGGAAAAAAAAGCAAAGGAAGTGAAATAAGACCCTTCTCCACGCGGGGGGCCCGAGACCTCGCCGGGACGTCCTTCCCTCCCGCCCCCAGGATCCAGCAGCCTCACCGAACGCAAGAACCCCTCCGATCGTCCCCCTTTTCACCAAACCACTGAGAATCCTCAAAAAATGCAGACCTGACCCTGAGTGCCGTCCCGGCCTTTCCCAGCGCGGATAGGGATCCCGGTCGCCAACAACAAAGACGCGTCCCGCTCCCCTCCCCCGCCGGCCGGGCTCGTCCCTCCCGCGCTGCGGCTCGGGGCCCAGCGCCCCCTCCTCTCGCGTCCCCTCGCCGCAACCGCAGCGCGCCCGCCCCGTGGTCCCACGCACCTGCACCTGAGCGGCCACGGCCGAGGCGCCGGGCACCAAGGGTCGGGAGAGAACGTCCGCTGACTCGGGATCCCCCACGAGACGCGTCCCTCGTTCCGGATGCCGGACGCTCCCCGCCTGCGGACGGGCCCGGCCCAAGAGGGGGGACAGGAGCTGCAGTCCCCGGCGCCGGGACCTACAAGGACAGCGGCGCCCGAGAGGGCCCGGCTGGCGCTGCCAAGTCTCGCTTCTCGCCGGCCCTGCTCCTCCGCACGAGCTCGCGTTCTGCTGACTAACGGCCCCGGCGCGAGGCACTGGAGCGGCGGCCACCGCCGCCGCCGACTGCTCTCGGGCCTCACGTCCCGCGCGGCCGTGGTCGCAGCCGCCGCCGCCTCCTCTGCGGGCACTGCAGACAACACCCAATCCCAGCCAGGTCTTTCTTGTTTTTAATCCTCCTGTCTTTGCTTTTCCTAAACCCGCCAAACGAGGGGCTCGTTCCCGTAGCAGGAGGGAGAATATGGACGGCAGCCGTGGGGCGAACACAGCGCACCCTAAGCCAGGAGTCGGTCACTGACTGGAGGTAGATGCCAAAGCTGACCCGGGCTCCAGCCTGCGAGCGGGCGGCGTAGGGACCAGCCCAGGTTCTTCCAACTTCTACCAATCACAAGCCGCTCAGCAGAATCCCTAGCGATACCGGCTCCCGGGGAGGCTGAGCGGACTCGGCAAGGGGCGGGGATTGCGCAAAGGAAGAGCCAATAGGAGTGGAGGCTCTCCGCCCCTCCGCCGTGATGGACTGCCACGTTCGAACCAATGGGGGAATTCTCATTTCGAAGAAAGCGGGACTTATTCACCTACTTTGAGAAATCGGCTGTGCGGAGGGGGCGAGCCAGGCCCCGCGGCGTGGAGTAGCTCCCACCCAGAGCAGGGAGAGCAGAAGGTGTCCTTTGACCTCCGCGAGGGAAGTCACGTGGGCTGACCGGGGGCGGGAAGGCTGGATGAGTTCCTTCCGGGTCACAGCCGCGTCAACACGGCGGGTAAGATCTTTGCTCTTCCCCGAAACTTGCCTGGACTGGCTTGTTGAGGTGGCTGTAGTTTCAGTGATGAGTTCCCAGAAGGGCAACGTGTCTCGTTCCAGGCCTCAGAAGCACCAAAATACGTTTAGCTTCAAAAATGACAAGTTTGATAAGAGTGTTCAGACCAAGGTAGGAACCTGCCTGTTGTACCTACTCTGACTCCAGGAAGAAGTGATTCATTTGGAAGGGGAGAGGAGTTGGCGAGGGCGAGTGTGGACCGGAGCCCAGAGTTAGTCTTGGCTGGAGTGCAACCCTTTCTAAAATGTTATTCCCACGCCCTTTCTTTGACCTGGATGTGTTGTCTCCTAGTAAATATATTTCATGGTCAACACACTTAAATAACTGCACGTAGAGTCCATAGGACTCTTCATCAAACCTAGGGTGCAAATGGGGTAAATCGAGTCTTCGAAGGCTCCCACCTGGATCACGCACGTTTCTGCAGCAGGAATGCAAGAATTATGGCATGTGAATCTCTTTCCAATTTGGCGCCAAGTTTATGCAGCTCTGGTGGTTTTCGGAGAGCTCCAAGCCCATGTAGGTTCATAGAGAGTGTGTTAAGGGTTCACTACTAGTCTCAATGTCCTCACCAACAGAGGGAATTTCCCTTTTTTGTAAGATTTGTTTTGCGGCGCAAACTATTTGACTTGTATGAAAATGGTAGCTTCACTGTTTATAAAGTCATCTCTTTTAGCGGATTTCTGTAAACTGGAAGGAAATTCAGACTGTTCAGACAGCCACAGGATTTGGGTCGTATATAACTATTGATTTACAATGAGTATCTCTCACTGCTTCTGTAACTGTAAGGAGAGGAAATAATTGATGACAGAGGCATATTGGAGGTCAGCATTACATCAGATAACTGTGATTTATTAATTTGTGGCCTGGATCATTTAATATTTAATTTCTCTGAGCTTTAGTGTCAAGTGAGAAATCTGGTAGAATTATTGTTAGGCTAAGTCAAAGATTTGTATAAATGGCCTTGAACATAATAAATTTTCATCAGATTTATTACTTTCTCAACATTAAGAAATCTGTTTATAGTAACCTGTAGTCCTCTTTGGTTTGCTCTTCACTTTATAAATATTTAAGAAACACTGTTCATGTGCAAGTCCCTATGATCATGGGTGTACAGTGTTCAAAAACATTGACTTTGTCTTTATGGAGCCTATAGTTTTCTGAGTGATATGGGGCAATGATTAACTAGGCAGATATGTAATTACAAATTGTGATAAATGTTGGTGAATGGAAAGACAACTCAGTTATGAAGAGTAAAGAGGGAGATTTTAAGTTAGGTCCTCAGAGGACCTCTCCTTTACCCTACTTGAGAGAATTTTCAGAAGGAAAACCTTGAGCAATATTTGGGAAGATGTTTCCCAAGTTTGTGTCTGTTATCAATGGATAAAACCAGAATAAAAGGCTGCACTAATCCCAATAGATGTCTACTTCAAGATTGTGCACAAAAATTTGCAGTAAGTTTTAACTATTTCTATTCCTAGACTTGTACTTTTCATTGTGCAGTTTCTTGGTGTTTTCTAATAACCATATCATTGTGATCTTAAATGTATTCATGGGTCTCAGATCAGTCACTAAGCTTCATTTGATCACTTTCATGTTTATTTGCATTCCCCCTTTTAAATTGGGAAGAAGTCTCATTTGTCAGTGGATCATACCACCAAGCCGATTGTTACTGAAGTTCTGACAAAAACATCAGTAAGGATTGTCTAATGGCAAATATAATAAACAGCAGCTTTTTTAACCAGCTGTGTACAGCTAAGACTGTCAGAAGCATCTGACCTTGTCTAAGAAGTAGTAAGAAATGTGTGGTTCTCTGTAACTCCCCTTAAAGGCTTTTAGTAACAGTTGACTAATTGTACCTCATTATTTGCAGGGGTCCTGCGTATTAGCTTTTTTTGTTCCTGTGCCATACAATTTGACATGAATTCATTGAAATTAAAAATTAGGTAATGACATGTTTTATTGGGAAGTTTATCTAGATAAATCATCCATTCCAGTACTTGAATGTATTCTAGATGAGGAGAGAAGCTTGTTCTGTGGCGTTCCAATGACTAAACTTAAGACTAAAGGGTCAGAATAAGAAAGATAGGTTTCAGCTTAATATGAGAATTTATCTAAAAGGAGCATGCACTAGGTTTTGTAACCTCCTCTTCACTGAAGTTATTTAAAAGAGGTCCTGCCTTTATGGCCATTGGTCATCAGTATCCTCAAATGAAGGTAGAGACAGAACAGACTTAAATGTCTTCTAGTTACTTAATATTAAATGTTGAGTCTGTCCAGATAGCCTTGTTTTCCTTACTGAATATGCAGTGATGGGTAAGAGAAGACAGTCACATTGTAGTCTTGGTTTTGTCACTTATTTTGCTTTTTTTTTTTATTATTATTATTCATATGTGCATACAATGCTTGGGTCATTTCTCCCCCCTGCCTTCACCCCCTATTTTGCTTTGTGATGTCAGGCAACTTGCCTGAATCTTTTCATCTACAAAACTGGGTTACTACTAACTCTTGTTTTAACTTCTTCTTAGGAAATGGAGATTTTTGCAAAAGTATTTTTAAGAAACAGGGACATGAAGTGGGGCAAAAACACTAGATCTAGCCAAAAAATAACTAAAACATATAAAAGGGCTGAGGGTGTGGCTCAAATGGTAGAACATCTCCCTATCAAGCACAAGGCCCTGAGTTCAAATCCCAGTAACATCAAAAATAAATAAATAAATAAATGTGCAAGAATGAACTAAGGATAAAGTTGTACATAGACATCTATGTACAATACAGTGTATAATAAAATACAGGTTTTCCTTCTCATTCAGTAAAGTAGGTATGTCAGAACAGAGATTACGTTCATTGTTTTTAATGATTGTATAATACAAATGTAGAGTTAACTTATTTAACCACTTCACTGTTAATCAACATTTGAGTTCAGTTTTTTGCTAAGTTACAAAGTTGAAGGTGGGTTTAATAGAGTGTGCCTCTAATTCCAAGACTTTTGAGGCTGAAGTAGGAGGATCTTTAGGGTTTGAGGCCAGTCTGGGCTATAGTGAGACCCTGTCTCAAACACATAAGCAAAAAATATTGCAATGAAATTCTTGTATTGATGCATTTATTCTACATCTACTATCTGGTACCAAACATTGTGCTAGATGCTTGAGGGTACAAGATTAAGTAAAACATATAGTCACCACCTTAATTCAAGTTAATAGTTTTCTGGGAGAAGTAACAAGCATTCATCAAATAATGTTTGAGGTATGTTAATGCCAGTTGTAGTAAGAGGTAGGAAAAAGTCTAGAGAGGCCCCAGAGTGTCTAGCAGGAAGTCTTGATTGAGTTTGGAGGGCTAAGGAAGACTCTGCTGATATCTGATGGCTGGGTAACATTTCACTAAATGAGGTGAGAAGAGTATGTTTCATCCTCTGGAAACTACTATATGTGTGTGTGTGGTTAGCATTACTTTTTATAAGCATTTCCTAAAATGTATTTCTTAGAGCTCAAAGGTCACATGATCTTCTTTGATAAGGCAGGAGTAAATTTTATGGTCTAGTTACTTTGAAAATATTGTATAGTAGATCTGACGTGGGCATAGTGTTAATTGGCATAAAATACAGATGTTTTGTAGTTTTAAAAAACATTACAGAGTCAAAACTAGCTAGTATATGGAACTCTTTGTTTTACCCAATACCCATTGAACTAATCTATTGCATAACACACTCATTTTGGGAAACTGATCTTCACTTTGATATGGAGTTGGAAGATGAAAGTCTGTGGCTCTGCTGACTGAATACTTAAGGAAATATAGTTGTGTTAATAATAGCTGATATTTGTATACTTCACACACATGATCTAATCTTCAAAATAACCCTAGGAAAGATGCTATAATTATCCCATTTTACATACTGGGAAATTAGGGCTTAGGGGAGTGAATGATGTGCCCAAAGTTAATAATCAGCACGTTGATTAGGTGAGGTCTGTCTGAGGAGACCTCAATGAACAAATTAATGGAAAGCCCTATTCCATATGTGTGGTTTTCTTAATACTGGTTTTTTATATGCAGTAGAGACAATGTGATACCAGATTAGGGTCAGGAGAGGGGTGAGCTTTACTGCACTGTCTCTGTTGTGGTTTGGGCATGGTTTGTTCTCCAGAGGTTTATGTGCTGGAAGCTTGATCTTCAGTGTGGTGCTGTTGAGAGGTGGGGGGACTTTTAAAAGATGGGGCCTAGTGGAAGGTGGTCATTAGGGAGGTGGTACTCTCAGAAGGGATCATTGTTGATCTCCTGGTGTGAATTCTCTCTCATGAATGGGTTGTTACATAGCTAGCCCACCTGAGGTGCTTGGTCCCGTCTGTACAGGACTATTTCCCTTTCTGCTATTCTGCAGCGCTGTGATACAGGAACAGAGAATCACCAGATCTTGGACTTTCAGCCTATGAAACTGTGAACTAGCCGGGTGTGGCTGGCTCATGTCTGTAATCCTACTGAGGAGGCAGAGATCAGAAGGATTGCAGTTTGAAGACAACCCCAGGCAAATAGTTCAGGAAACTCTATCTCAAAAAAACCAACACAAAACAGGGCTGGCTGAGTGGCTCAAGTGTAGTGTGCCTGAAGGCCCTAAGTTCAAACTCTATACCCAAAAAAAACCCTGTGAGGTAAATAAACCACTCTTCTATATAAAGTACACTGCCTTGGGTATTTTTGTTGTAGTAACAGGAAATGGATTAATATAGCCCTAAACATTGCCTGTTTGAATGTTCTATGAAAAGTCTCTTCTGAGTGTCATTCTCCTGGAGTTACAGATTATAGGTAGGTTGTGAAGGGTTTCACAAGGGTTTCATAGTCATCCAAGGGTCTATACCAGAGGTTTCTGCTTATTTAATGTAAAAGCAGATGCTAATTCAGTCCAGTCCCTCAGCTCCTGGTTTGGTTTAGGCAGAAAGCTATCTTAAGTTTAAGGTGGTATGATTAAATTCATGTAACAGAATAGGATTCTGTGTTTACAAGCTCCTTTATTTACAAGTCAAAACTGGGGAAAACTCCAAATACCCATCATCAGAAGCAAATTAAGGCAGATGTATAGAACGGAATATCGCTCTGCTGTCTTAAAAAATGAAGAATCAATA